CCTAAAAGAGTTTGCCGAGTTTCTGGCCTCACAAATCGACCATTTTGTTGTCGAAGGTGATAGAGTAAGATTGGCAAATATGTCTGAACCAAAAACGTGTCCTGATGAATTTGTTGATGAAGAAGGACGCCCATTAGCTGGACACAAAGCAAAACTGGCAGCAATCGAATTTATGAAATCTGTTCTGGAACAGGTAAAAATATATTTAAATTTTAATTTAAAAAAATTAATTAAAAGAACGAAGAACAGCCTTATCCACTTGATTTATTTTACAAAAAATTCTGTGAACATTTCCCCCATCATATTCGACAGGAAGTTGCTACAAATCCTAAGGTAATAATTTTCCCCTTAATTAAATTTTTAAAATATTTAAATTTCTCTCTATTTTTTAAAGGAATTATTAATGTTTCTAAAATTAAATCGCCATCTTTTCTTCATTCGTTCAAATAAAGTTCAATTAGTTAAAAATCGTATACCAACATCCGAAGAACAACAAGACTCTGAAAGTGGAAGATCTACGGAGGATATTGGGGGTGGAGGGAATACAACAGGTTCTTCTTCCTCTTGTAGTGAAAGAAGTAATGTTGCAAGTCCAGAAGTTATTACAACAACAAAAAATAATTCCATTTTCATGGAAAGAATTTGATAATGCTTAAAATCTGATAGTGCTTAAAAATAAATTAATGAGGAAAATTTTAAACAAAATAAAATGATAAATTTAAAAACAGAAGGTAGAAGGTAAAATTTCTCTATTTTATCAATTAAAGCTATATTTTCAGTCAGTTAAAGCTATATATCAGGGGTGGCGTTAGTCGTATTTTTTGAGAGATCTCGTGAATCTCGTGTCTCGTATTTTGTGGCACTTGCGCCACCCCTGCTATATATGTAGCAGGGTTTAGTTAAAGCTATATAGTAAAAGCTATATTTACATAAATGCTTATACGTAAAGCAACCAAAAGATTTTTATAAATATATTATTTTGTGTTAAAAAATATATTGATAATTAAGTAGAAACTTATGCCGATATTTAATAAATAAAATGAATAAATGATTAAAAAAAGAAATTGACAGGCATTTTATACTTGGTCATTTACTGTTGTAATTATTAAGGTCATCTAATGGCATGTGAAAATATTCAAAGTTTTGTCTGTTTTTTTTTGATAAAAGAATGTAATTAGACAATTTTTGCATTAATAAATTCAAATATTTGCTTTAAGACTGTTACACATAAAAAGTTTTGTGAGTAAAAATAAAATAAAAAAAAATTGTCTTGAAAAATTTGAAATTCAAAAGAAGCTTGATTAGATAAAAATGATATTGAATTCTAATTTAGTAATTCTGTTTTGTTATTAATTCGAAGAAAAAAAGAAAAGATAGTAGTACCAAATTAATTAAAATTTAAAATGTCGACTTTTGTTAAAAATTTTTTTTTGAACATTTCCAAAGAACGATGTATCTAATTTATTTCAGATCTCAAATCTCTAAAATCAAAGGAAAATGTTTATCTGAAAGCCCATAAAATTTGCTGCAAACTTAGGTAAATTTGCCGTTAAAAAATTCATGGAGATAAAGGCCAAGAAGTTGAATAATTTTTGGGCCAGGAAATTGAATCAAATCATTTTTGGGGTATTTTAGGAGGTTTTGAGCATTTCTAATGTAAAGAGGATCAAAAGATATTTTTTAGAAAAATGAAAGCTCCGTACTGTTTTATAGAAAATTTTATGGGCTTTCAGATAGGTCTAAAATAAAATTTTTAATGAAAGCTCTATGGTGTTAAAATATTTTTTGAAGTGCTGTATCCCCACACTCCAAGTGCGAAAAATCTTGTCTTCTTGGCAAGTGACCAAAATTTAATTAGGTAGTCAAATTGTAATCTCTAGATTTTTAAAATCACATTTATCTTTAATAAAATTTTTTAAAATTTTAAACAGTTTTTTTCTTTGATTTTTACGATTCCACCTTGATTTTCAATCATTTATTCTAAAAATTATAAGCATAAAAATATTTTGTATAAGAAGTACTTATAATCATTATAATTACTATACCTCTTCTAAATATACAAGTATTGTTATCGAAGAATGTTTGAGATGAAAACAATAGGATATTTTTATGTTTGTTCTTTTGTTAAACAAAAAAATATTTTTTTTTTGTAAATTTAAGAAATAAAATAATTAACAAAAATTAAATAGTTTAACGGAGACTTCTACATAATTTGATATAATTCTTCATAAAAATTGTCTGTAATTTCATCCCTTACAATTTTAAAAAATCACTCCAATTACAATTTCCACTCCCGAATTTGAAGTTGCTATTTTTCTGCAATAAATGAAGAATAATAGAGTTACAATTTAGCTGAGTTTATCGAAAATTAATAATTAATAAAAGGTAGTAGTTTATATTTCAAACAAGCGTTCATCGAATAAAATCATTCAATAAATCTTCTGACAGTCTGTTGCTACCTGACAGCTTTGGCCTTTAAATAATATTTTCTAATTTTCTCTTTCTCTTTTTCTAATTTGTTTTACATAAAAATATATTTTTATGGCCACTATTTAATTAAATAAATTATTTTATTAATTAAATAATAAAATTATTTTTGTTAAATTTAATATTTAGTCAAATCTCATTATACATTCACCCAAAATTACATAACACTTTCGATTTTACATACATATTTTAAATTATTTTTGGCGACTGTTTGTGTGGTGGTAGGCTGCCTAAATGATATGAATAACCAACCTTGAATATAGCTTTAGTTTTACATAAATTTTGCGTGTCCCCGAGAGTATGTAAAATCAAGATTCTTTTGTATTGGAAAAAGTTAATCTCTAACATTTAAGTGGGGGCTTTATTACTAACAATAAGCAACTTACTATTATTATTTCCATCAATTTAAAATTTTCTTATTTAGATAGTTCTATTGTTTTTCTTATATTTTTTATGAAGTTGGTTTCTTTAAAATAAATTCACATTCATTTGTGATAAACCAGGGCTCGGATCGACAAAATGCCACTCAAAAGTATCAAAATCTTGTAAAAAAAGTACATAGGGAGAAAATTTGCTAATAAAAAGTACGCTCCAAAAATTTCGGGTACGGGTTTCGAGTTTAGCGAAAATTCTTGTTATTTTCTGGTTATATGGGTGATATAGAGAGAGGCAAATTTGAAGAGATTAAAAAGACATTGTGGGATTTGGGGACTAAGAGGGATATCTTGGTATAATTCCACTATATACTAATATCCCTCCGCCTTATCTTTATTAAAATCTCCAATTTCCTCCCGTTTTCAGCGCCGCAGGCAAAAATTTTGTGAATTTTGGAGGTCCTTAAGCCAGATTTCTTCCATTTTTTGCGCCGCAGGCGAAAATTTTGAGAATTTTGGAGGTCCTTAAGCCAGATTTCTTCGTTTTTTCAAAAATGTTGATAAAAAAGTTTTAGCTGAGTTAATTCTTCATAAAAATTGTCTGTAATTTCATCCCTTACAATTTTAAAAAATCACTCCAATTACAATTTCCACTCCCGAATTTGAAGTTGCTATTTTTCTGCAATAAATGAAGAATAATAGAGTTACAATTTAGCTGAGTTTATCGAAAATTAATAATTAATAAAAGGTAGTAGTTTATATTTCAAACAAGCGTTCATCGAATAAAATCATTCAATAAATCTTCTGACAGTCTGTTGCTACCTGACAGCTTTGGCCTTTAAATAATATTTTCTAATTTTCTCTTTCTCTTTTTCTAATTTGTTTTACATAAAAATATATTTTTATGGCCACTATTTAATTAAATAAATTATTTTATTAATTAAATAATAAAATTATTTTTGTTAAATTTAATATTTAGTCAAATCTCATTATACATTCACCCAAAATTACATAACACTTTCGATTTTACATACATATTTTAAATTATTTTTGGCGACTGTTTGTGTGGTGGTAGGCTGCCTAAATGATATGAATAACCAACCTTGAATATAGCTTTAGTTTTACATAAATTTTGCGTGTCCCCGAGAGTATGTAAAATCAAGATTCTTTTGTATTGGAAAAAGTTAATCTCTAACATTTAAGTGGGGGCTTTATTACTAACAATAAGCAACTTACTATTATTATTTCCATCAATTTAAAATTTTCTTATTTAGATAGTTCTATTGTTTTTCTTATATTTTTTATGAAGTTGGTTTCTTTAAAATAAATTCACATTCATTTGTGATAAACCAGGGCTCGGATCGACAAAATGCCACTCAAAAGTATCAAAATCTTGTAAAAAAAGTACATAGGGAGAAAATTTGCTAATAAAAAGTACGCTCCAAAAATTTCGGGTACGGGTTTCGAGTTTAGCGAAAATTCTTGTTATTTTCTGGTTATATGGGTGATATAGAGAGAGGCAAATTTGAAGAGATTAAAAAGACATTGTGGGATTTGGGGACTAAGAGGGATATCTTGGTATAATTCCACTATATACTAATATCCCTCCGCCTTATCTTTATTAAAATCTCCAATTTCCTCCCGTTTTCAGCGCCGCAGGCAAAAATTTTGTGAATTTTGGAGGTCCTTAAGCCAGATTTCTTCCATTTTTTGCGCCGCAGGCGAAAATTTTGAGAATTTTGGAGGTCCTTAAGCCAGATTTCTTCGTTTTTTCAAAAATGTTGATAAAAAAGTACATACTTTCAAAAAAGTACGAATTCAATTTCTTAAGTACGGAGGTCGATAAAAAAGTACAATACTTTTAAAAAAGTACGAATCCGAGCCCTGTGATAAACTAACCATTCGAGATTCGATATTCTTAAACGAAGTTACCTCTGCTGCTGTACAAAAATTATTAAAAATCTTTTGACTTTAAACTCTTACTTTCTTATCTAATTTTTGTTTAATTTATTAAATATTTTTAAAATTTGGTCCAATACCCTAAATATATTTAATATTTATTTTCTCTCTCATTTACTATAATCCTTTGTTTTCATTTAACTATCAGGATCATGTATCACGTCGAAGAATTAAAAAATATATTTATTTATTTACTTTCTTCCATCTCTTCCTCCCATTTTTTTTCATTTTTATCGCTCGCATGCCTTTCCCCCCTCCAATCCACAAAAATATTTTCCCGGCGGTCTCGACCAGGACGCTTTTAAAACCAACAACATTCCCTATATAATACACGTCTCCTTTGTTTGTCCCTTCCTTTCCTCCCCCCCCCCCTCCATTCGCGATCAATCCCCCCAACTCATCCCTTACTTTTTTTAGCATCCATCCATTCATCTACCACTTTCATAAGCGATTTTAGCAACACATTTATTTCTTTTAAATATAATTTTGTTCAAAGTCAAACACTTTTTTATCTTTTTTTTTATTTTTGATAGCACACATATTTTTTAGTTTTTAGTTTTTAGATGACACATTTTGAATTAAATACTAACACATTTTTACTTTTCCTTTATTTTCTCTATTAAAAGTGAAAACTCTGCTGGTTAATTTCTTAATTTAAATTTTTTCTATTTAATTTTAAAAGTGTTAAATTGAATCTGATTATTATTTAAATAAATAATTAAAACAAATAATTGATCAAAATCATCAGATTTTTATTTATTTTTGCTTATTTTAATTAATATTTTCTTCATATAAAAATTTATTTATTAACTTAATTTTCCATTAACCTTATAATATAATAAAATTAAGGAAGGAATGTTTCTTTCCCTAATTATTTCTTGCGGGATTTTCTTTTATTTTTACAATTAATTCTTTTACTTTCTTAAATATAACCAAATATTATTATTAAATATGTATTTTTGATTCTTTCTCCCGATTACGCCCATTAATATAAATAATTTATGTAGTAGTAATAAATATACATTAAAAAATAAATACTCCATTCTTCATTTCTTTACAAAAAATAAATTCTTGAGTTAATTAAATATTTTTATTTGGTTAATTTTTTCTGAGAATGGAATGTTGAATCTTAGAGGATATACCGTAAAAACTGTATTAATGTCCCTCCCTCAAATAATTACCCCGCCTGTATTAGTTACTCTCTCCAGCGAAAGGTTGAAACAATAATTACTCCCTTAAAAATAGATATAATTAGCCTTTCTAAAATAACCTCTATTTATTACTCCATTCAGCGAGAGATCGAAACAATAATTATCCGGGGTAGTTAATACATTCAAATTAATATTATCACAATGTTCGAGCCAAAAAATTAAAAAAAAGAATGGGGGAAGATGGTGAAATTTTCTGTTCAAAACATAGAATCTAATATTATGTTTTGCGTTTTTGTAAAAGAAATGCAAAAATTTACTTGGGGGGATTTACTTGGGGGGATTATCTCCACAAAATAAATAATCTCCAAATATTTTTGTTGAACACAAATCCCTCAAAATAAATGATTTTTATCTAAATATATAAAATATTTATTTTAAGCATTTTATTTTGATTTTATCTAGAAGTAAATTGAAAAAATTAATAAATATTTTTTTTTGAATATTTTTTTGTTAGTCAATAAGGGGCATTTTCCGCGAAACTCTTTTATTTTCAATTTGAAGCAAAAATAAAAAGGAAAATATTTTTTGGTTTCTTTTTGTTTGTTAATTTCTTTTGTTCAAAAATTAAACAATAGACGTTATAAACACTTGCGCAGATTTTAGTATTAGAAGCAGAAACCGGACATTAAATCGATATTAATCGTTAGACAAATATCGGTATCGAAAAATGATAGACCGATCTCTAATTAAAAGTACTAAATATTTATAAAACGAACGTGAAAGCTAAGCAGTTAGAGGCACAAAATTAAAAAATTAACAGAAGGTTGCTTTTTGATAGGCTTGCTTCTCACGAGAATTTAGAGTAACTATGTACACTTTCAATTTTATGGTCCAAAAACTAAGGATTTTAGGAGCTCATTTCAGGAATTATTTAATCTGTCCTTTACTTTATTTTATTGAAAAAATTAAACTTTTAATCATTGAATTTTTGTTAATTTTTTTGTCTTTATGAACTTATACTTTCTAAGTTTTGAAAGTGACTAACACTTTAAATTATTTTTTAAAATTATTTTTACACATTTTCTCTAATAATCAAAATAAACTAGAAAGAAAATTTTTCAAAAAGGGGTGTTGTTTTTTTGTTTTTGAAAGAACAAAAGATTGGAAAATAAATTGAAAGGAAAAAAGAGGGAAGGGAAGGGAGAGTAGGAGAAGAGGAGGCTGTCTTTATTTAGCGATTCATGTCGCGCATTTATCGTTATTAACAAAAAACCACTTTTTTCCTTTCTTCTCGTTCATTTCTTTCTTCAAATCAATTAACCTTTCTTTACCAGTTAATTTATTAGTGGCTAATTCGTTTTACCACCCAATAAAAAAGTTTTTTCTGCAAAAGTTTTTGTTGATATATTTTTTATTTTATTTATTTTTTAATTAATTTAATCACTTTCTATTTTATAAAATTGGTAATTAAATCAGTCTAAATTCCTTAACAGATCGCTCCTATGATGTGATATAAGCGACCTTTTCTCTTTTTCCTTATTATCATTGTTAGCAAAAATTAAGAATTTTTTCATCTCTCTTATTTATCCCCCAAGTCAAGTTTCATATTCCATATTGAATATGAATATGGAATATTCATATTATAATATTCACCTCCCCCTCCTAATCTTCAAATTTAATTTCTTTTGTTTCAATCCTTTTATTATTTAAAAAATAATTTTTATTTATTTATTTATTATTTTCTTCTTAACAATTTAAAATAATTATATTTTATTATATTAATTAAATAATTATATTAATTAAATTAAATTAAAGATAACAGGGTAAACATAAATGAAAGAAAATATTTTCTTTAAATTTTAAATAAAAATAAGGCCATTTTTTAATGGTAGCACTTTTTATAATTTATAACTTTTTTATTTTAAAAAGAAATAGTATTACAAAATCAATTGGATTAGAAAAGTGTTAAAACGCCACGAAGTGATTAAAAAAAGTGAATAAATAAATATAATAAAATATTATTTTTTTGCCAAACAATTTATTTATTTTTATATACCTAAATATTTTTTGTGGAACAATTAAGTTACCGTATTTACTCAAATAATTACCCATCTATATTAATGACCTACTCTATTCAAGGGTTGAAATAATAATTACCCCCTTAAAAATTGTTATAATTAGTAGAGACTTCCAAGAACGCTTAGTCTTGAGTCTTAGAAAATTTTTGGTCTTGGAAGTCTCTAATAATTAGCCTTTCTGAAATAACCTCAAATAGTTACCCCGGCTCTATTAATGCTTTTATTACTCTCTACTGTGTTAGATTGATTACCCAGGGTAGTTATTTAAGTAAATACTGTATTTATTTTAAGAAGAACTCACTAATAAATCTCAATTAAATTCTAATAATAAAATTAAAATTCAATACCTACTTCACTAACAAAATTAATCAAATAAATCCGTTAATTTAATTAATCTTCATTAACAATTAATTTTTTAAACAAAACAAATTTACTTAAAAAATAAACGGAGATTTTTTTAACCTTTTTTTACCTTTAAGTAGATATAATCTATCATAAAATATATTTACTAGCATTCAAAAAATAAATAAAATATTTTTTATTTTGAAGATATAAAAATAGAATATAAAACAGCTGTTTTTAATTTTAACTTAGATATTTTGGTATATATTTATGTAGACTAAAAGAAAAATTTTATTTGAACTAGAAATTCTGTTAATTAAAATTTAATTTTAAATTAAAAAATTTTTTGTTGCTAAAGAAAATTTTACTATTTGCAGTTAGCAATTATTGCTAGCATCTTAAAAAATTCTTTAAAATAATTCTTTTATTTTTTCCTGTACAAATTGTTGTGGATTTTAATTAATTTCCCCGCTTCTTCCTTTCTTTTCTTACCACAACCAGTGATACTATTCACAATATTTTTTTAGAATATAAATCTACGAAAATAAAAACATTAATTTGTAGAATTATACCTGACGTAGGTCGGAACATCGGAGGTGTCGGGAACTGAATTTAGTCAAACTGTCGGAAATAGGAAGAAGAAAGCATTCAGAAAATTCGACACAAAATTTTGGTGCCCAATTTTCTATTTACTATCCTGATTTTTCAGAAAAAATAATATGTACATATGTATTTCCTTTAATTTGTGGCTGGCTGATTAGCCTTCTATTTTTCGAACTTCTCTAAAGGCTAGTTAGCAACAAAGGAAGTACTCAAAACCAATTTCCATTTTCATTTAAAGATCTCATCCTATCATTTTCCTATCAAAATTATATTTTTAATTTTCCTATTTAATATTCAAATTTAATATGTAGTAATATTTTTTATTAAAAAAACTTCCTTCTTTATAAAATTTTATGTAAAATCTTTAACATTTTTTTCTTCTAATCTTTTTAAAATTTCAATGTGACAGACTTACATATTTTTAATATTTTTTTTTTATTTAAATCCTTTAAATTTTCCAGGTGAGGGTATATTCTACCATCGACGGGGCCCGTCCCGGCCATTTCCCTAAAACTCCTGACAAAAATAAATTGTCTTCTTTCCATATTTTTATTAAATAAAAACAACAAATAAATTCTTTTCTGCCTTCATAAATCGTCCTAAAAATTTTTATATTTAAAAATGGACGAGGCTCGTAATATGGCACTTCTCTTTTTTGTAGACCATTTAATGCTAAAGGGAGGACAACGGACTATTCACGATTTAAGTTGTAAGTTTTAGGGGAAAGTGAGAAATGGAAGTGAAGGGAAAGGAAGGGCGGAACTTATGGAAATATTTTTTTAAATAATTTTTATAGGATTTGGATTTAGAAATTTAAATAATTATTTAAATAAAAAGGGAAATTCTTTTTTATCATTTTTAATATTGTAAATTAAAAAAAAATAAATTAAAAAATATTTTTAATTATTAAAAATGATAGCGAATGAAGGTTTGGATTAAATTTAAAAATAAAATTGTTAAGTAACTTCAGCCGTTACTTAATTTAAAAATGCAAACGAATAATTCTAGTTAAGCCATAACTAATGTTTTTCCCGTCCATAAATAATTTTTAATTTTATTTTTAATCTAGGTCAATTTGGCGCACGCGGCTTTACAGAAGAAATGCGTCAGTCTGTCGGTACCACTCAGGTACTATTTATTAATAAAGTGTCCACTAACTTCTAATTAAATCTTCCTTTTGCAGGAAGGCCTAACAGAGTTTCTTGGGCAATTTCCATCTTTATTTGTTTTGGATGGGGACCAAGTTAGTTATTGTTTTTAAAAATTATTTTAATGTTTTGTTTAAAATTCTCTCTTTTTTGTGCCCTTACCATTATTAAAAAAACATATCCTCATACAA